CTGTCATTGAGCAGAGAAGGTGGAATGTTACATACACGGTCTGTTGTACTGTAATGCAGGCCTCATCAGGCCTGGGAAGTCCTTAATTAACGACATTAATTTAATTTATGGATTCTATTAGTCTTAATTTTGGAATTTGGCAATAACTAGAGTCCATGCTTAAGCTATTACTCGACACTAATTCATTTTCTCACGTGTGAGTTTCGGAAATTTACGAGAAAGTGATTTCTGTACAAAGACGAATAATACGTATCGTAATCATACTTGTAGCAAAGGCAACGTGGCATAATCCTACTTGTGGTTGTAAGTGTATGACGTTCTTAATTTATGGATGACGCAAGATTTAATTTTGGTTAATTTTGGGATTTTGTAAACAAATCCCAGAATTTAGTAGGCGTGCTGTAATGTGATGGGACTCCGCCTTTGAAGCCTTGGAGACTCCCATCCATCTATTTTGGAATTAGCTTGACTACGACCCTTTTGAAGATTGCAGTCAGTTGGTTATCCTTCAAGACCTCAATGGGCAAGAGTAGTCATTCGCTTGATTCCTCCATTCCGGTACCGTGTCATTGCTCAGCTGTATTATTTTCTCCTCTATTTCCTCCTCTAAGTGCTGTTTCGGCGTTCTCAAGTTCTTCATTTCAGAAAAGTAGGTCGAAACTAGCCTTCCTACTGCACGTGAGGGACAAGAAAGACCCCAACGAGAAATGTAGTTGGTTTTATGGTTTGTCGCCAAACGCATGCCCCGGAGATGACAGAAAAATCAAGAGCTGGATATTAGGTGATCGATATCCAAGAAATAAAGTGTTGTTAATGTATTATTCACGTGAGATTGATTGTTTTATTTACATCAACATGCACCATAATACTAACCACATCCCCAATTGTTGGTTATAATCCGTCCATTGAAAGTGCTGAGAGTCATATTGACATAAAGATTTAGGAAAAGTATTAGTTTTACAAAAAATGTCTGGCTGTAGTATCGATGAATGTAAAATATTGGTATATCAAGATAGAATGTGAACCTTCAGTCAAATCATTTAGAAAAGACAAAAAAGACAACAAGTAATATTATACCTCAATGTAAAGACTTCATGTGATAAAAAATGATCATAGACTAACATCCCCAATATACATATTGAGGATGACTATATTTGCAATCTTTGAATATATGAAAGATAAATTTACAAAAATATTTCTTCCGAAATTTTTATCTAATTATGCCTAATACCAAGACAAAACCCGTAGTAATTTTGCCATTGTGAGCACCCTCTCACAATTTACTATTTTTTCCTTTCACATCTCCAAAAATCCTTGGTCTAATACAGTAATGTCATAGAAGAGAACCCATTGTCGCCGCTAACAAAGATCTGTCAAAGTGCAATAAGCTCATGACTTCACACATCAAACGACGTCAATCGTGCTAAAATTGCAATTGATGAACAGAGAAGACAGATAAATTAAACAGACATCAATATAAATTTATGTACTTTCAGAAAATACTTCAACCCATCTAAGAAATGTTAACATGGAAAATAGATATTGTATTCATTATGGATTCTTAATAATGTGGTTACAAAAAAAGTTCCTCCATTCTGATATGTCAAGCATCCTTTTAAGTTCAATCGTGAATGCGTTTCTGACAAGATCTGACAAGGCTCTATGAGGAGTATACTATCAACTAAGCAAGCAACACAGAATATATTCCAAGTTTTGTTCATAAGTTTACACCAATGCAATAGACACAAGCTTAGTGTCCTTTAAAGTATCATTTTCTAAAAAAATATCAACAATTTATTGAGAAATGAATCATTTTTATGAAAACTCGTGAAGAATTAGGGAACTTGAAATGTAAACTCATTAAGGAAAAAAGAAATGGTAATTTGGTAAAGAACACATTCACATGACTCGATGACCTACCTAATTTGTTCATGTGCCAGAAGGCAAAGACTCATTGTCTTTCAATGATACTCCAAAGATGATCTTTCACATACGGGTGAGACTTACATGCTATGTTTAACACAATATAGATAAATTTTTTTTATGGGTTGTTCTTTCACATGCAAAATCTTAGTCTTTTAAATCGTTCCTCTCGCAGGTTGATTACAATAGTACTAGACCATACTATCATTGATTGAGATTTTAATTCAATAGCCTTAAATTTTGTAACTATCTTACTTTATCATTGAAAAGAAAAAACAATTTCTCATCAAATTTTATGTATATATATACACAAAATTTGATATACACATATATAGAGAATAGCGTAATAAATTATTTTTTTAAAAGTGAATCTATTCAATTTCTTCATCATGTACACAACTGAATGATACCATGAGAGTATTCATTGCTCACAAGTTAGTGTAGAACTGCTATAAGTGCAACATTGTTTTTCATGGCCAGATGTTACATTTAATCACACATGAGAATATTAAGTCATGATATTTGTAATGATGCACGAGGGTGAATACACCACACACAGAAAAATTGGCGTTGCAATTTACGATCGTGAGTAGAAGTCTATTCAAGGCTCGTTAGTCCATATTTGGTTAGAAAGTGCCAACTTATAGTGAGATATATGATGATGGAGACCTGATACTACACATAGTTCAGTTACGGAAATTGAGATTCCTCATATTCATGCATGGATAAGAAGTAAAACGACAACAGCAGAACTTCTAAATGTAGAAGTGAATAGAGAGAATTCATCATTTGAATAAATATAAATAACATGGGTGATTTTATTTTACCAGCAAAATGATGTTTTAAATTTATGAACTTATTGTTGCATAATCTAGATAATTTCTATTCCTATTTATAATCATAATCTAGTCGTATGGGACGATTAAATCGATATCAATAGTCATTGTATATTAGCAGCTAGAGTACATTTTTTACGATGCGATAATGTTTTGGACTAGCCCGTGGTTTTCACATGCTCTTATTCTTTGTAACGCATGATGGGCTTATTCTTTACATTTTTGTGCATCACCAGGCCGCCCATGTCGGAAACATAGCAAATAGAAATATGAAAACTAATCATGCCCCTAACCTACTCTCGCGTCACGGCCAAAATAATTGCACGTCTAAAGAAGACGACGTAGTATGGGTTCCGAATGATCGAAAATCAGATTCGGGACTTCCGCGCGTCAGCTCACGATTGGGCTGGCCTTCCGCAGTCGCTGACATGGCTCCAACAGTCGCTGACATGGCTCCAACGCTCCACTTCGAGTGACCAGCATTCCCATTATGCAGCGACTGCATTACTATAACGGGTATAAACGTTGTCCTCATCGGACGGATCGAGGCCTCCGATCTGGACCGCGGCTGCCACGCGAGCCGAGCCCACCGCAGTGCAGCTTTCGTCACGCCACGCGGGGCGGCATGCCAAGTAATAAAGCCCGACTGGGGAGTAGGTACAGTTCATAGTCCGCCGTCCCGACACGACCACAACAACGTGGAGAAGGTGATCGGCTCCGAAGTGGCACCAAATGGGACAAAATGGCACCAAATGCCGCGCGCTCTCGCTCTGGCTATCGACGACGGACGCCGCGTTCGGGAGATCCGCAGATCGATCACAAGGTGCCAAAAACATTTGGACCAGTTCGGTCCGCGATCATTTAAAGCCCGGCGCCGGCCGGTCGGTCGGTCGGACGGACGGAAGTGGCGGCTCGACGGCCAGGGTGGACGGAGGAGGCGAACGGGAATTAGACTCGCGAGCTCTCCCCGTCATGTGGAGGCGACGACGGACAGCGGCTGAGATCGCTCGATCCACAATAACGGGTCTCCGGGGGCGACCGGAGGTTTTCGTAGATTGTCTCATCTGCTCGAGAAGATGAGTCTCAGATCATCCCGGCCGTGGAAGTTGTGGCCGTCAGGGGCCTCCCTCGGCTCGCTTTTGTCCTCGACCGCGCCCAAGGGATCACTCCAGTTCAGAGTTCGTCAGGTGCGAGCGCTCGAGACGCTCCTCCGGGCGATCGCGCGAGAGAAGGAGAGGAGAGGAGAGCCGAGGGCCGTGGAGTGGAGGGGAGGGCAGCCGAGCCCGGTCGGGATGGCAATTGGAATTCGGTCGCGCAGATGATTCGGGTTTCTTGCGCGATTGCTCGAGGTTTGCCCGAAGAGAGGATTGGAAATCTCTGCCGAGGGCGGGCGCATGCCGCTGGCTCGATCGCGTTTCGAATGTGAATTCGGGTCTCTCGAAACCGTGTCGAGGAGCTGTAGATTCGCACGGGCCGCGAGGAGTCTCGGAAGCTGGCCGGTGACGTAGAGAGGAGCTCGTTTAATTCAGAGGCTTCTTGGGAGAGTGTTCTGATGGGATGATGGGGTGAAGCGTAGGAATTCCGCCACTGGTTTGGGTAATCTTTGGCTTTGGGATAGGACTCGAGAGCTAGGTATATGACTGTGGTTGAAGGACCGAGGGCTGCAGGAAGGGAAAGAAGATTTTTCGTGACACAATATACGGCATTCTCGTTGGAAAATAGTTTTTCGGACATTTATTTGAGAATTTTGCCGGAGCAAGGAGCGGGTGGAGAGCGGAATCTGCAGCTGGAAAATTGTCATCGAAGCCGGTTGAGCGGGAGTTTCTTGGACTTTTCCGCGGGCTGAAATTCTTATTGCGGAAGGTAGACTTGAAACCTGATATGCGTCGTCATTCAGTCTCGAAACTTCGTCTGCTTTTTTAATTTCGATTGGCTACCGCTACATCTGGGGAATTATAGTTAACTGGATCGCTTCATACAGGCACCTAAAATGCTTCAATGTGAGGCAAATTGGGCAGACGATCAAGATGTTCGCAATAGTGTCCAGTTGAGAATCTCATCTCAGACGACTTCACCGCAGGTACTAAAGCAACGCCTACCTGCATGGGTGTAGTATCTTTTATCAGATTGCAGTGGTTGAGCTCTATGGCAAATATGGTTCTCTTGGACATATACTGGCCTCTCGATAGCTTTGTGGAGTTGCAACCTTCGTTCCTATTAATCCATGTTACTCTTGTAAGGGACCAAGTGGACAACAAGAAGAAAACAAAAATGATGGTTCGTGAAGAAGACCAGGGTGAGGAAGAAGACCTTCAGAACAAACCATTATCGGGGTCGAAGACGTCGCACTCATGAGGCAGTGCGTATAGGTGTGAATGTCGGACTTAACGAGAAGTATTAGAGAGGTACCAAATTTTGAATCGAGAATTATTCGAAGGGAAAGAGCTTATTTTATTCGTGCTGGCGTGAGGATGACATGGAGACGCGTGGTCAAAATAAAAACTTTACCGAACGTGATTTTAACGCAATTTCCATACTGACCAGTGCCCAGTATCACAGCAGTTCCGTATGCATATAAGCTGTGTATTTGCTACGAATGGTCCTTAGGATGAAGTCTCGGTTCAGTCTGCAGTGGAAATTCGCCTTCCTTAGATACGGAGTTTGCAGTTGGGATGTCGTCCCTGAATCTGAGTTGCCAAGGACTTCGATAGATATCTGAGAGTAGCTAGAGTGCAGTCAGCAGATATGGAGTCACTAGTTGGTTCTTGTGTGCATGATGTGTGATTCGTTCAATTTATCAGCTGTATTCCTCGCGCAATATATGAATGCGGGTGTAGATCATGACTTTGTTAGTTGGAAGGCCGTGTTATTTGGTAGTTGCTCCAGTATAATGCTTGCAGGTGTCACTCGGTCATCCAGGACGCATGTATGTCCTCTCCTGTTATGAATTTTGGTCAAGCCTAATTATTTCGTTTGTATTACATCTCAGATCACCTAATGCGTTCGACTGGTAAAATGTTAGTGTTGAATACGAGGCTAGGCGTTTTTGAATGGAACTTAAAGATTGGTTTTGTAATGCAAACTCAAGTTGATGGTCAAACTGTTGTTCCTAGGATAGTTAACTTGACAGACATATCAACAAACAAAAGACTTCTTTTTTACTGCTCTTGCTGTGTGAGCTGAGCTAGATTGTATGCTTAAGCTGTTGGTCTACCACGGCAGTTGTTTAGTGTGGTAGACCACAGCTGATGTCACTTCTTCTCTACGTGGTTATCATTGTTCATCCAGATTTGAAAGTTATCTTGCTCATAACCCAATGGGTGATTTGAAATCTTAAAGATAAGCGCGAACATGCAATAGACAACTGAGCAGCAGGAAACACCAAGTATGATTCAATTTCCCAGAGTTTTTGAGTGGATTGCAGTGGGATATGCGCTAACAGTACGATATTCCGATTTGTCCTCAATATGGGTGAAAAATATTACTTATGCGCGTTTGTTCGTTATGATTTGTTACCACCTCATGCGCATATTGCGCGATTGGTTGAATGTGTCTCTATGAACGCAGGCTGAAGCAGCTGATGGAGTCAACAATGATGACTGCGAAGCTGCTTACAGCGCCTGCCAAACTTCGAACGGGGATGCAAGTGAGAGACTCATTTTGTCTCCTCCAAATGTTGCCGGAGATGGATCACAAAGAGCAAGGGACGGTTGTTCTGAAGATAAGACGAGGGCTTTGATTACGTCACAGTTGAAAGGACATTTTTACCACGTGGAAGAAGGTCTACTCACAACTTTGGAGCAATGTTTGAGATCTGATAATCGAGAATTTACCTCCGCAGCCCTCTCTGGTTACGTCGATCATTTTCAAACGCTGGGCGAGGACGCTCTGTGGGGCTGTGGCTGGAGAAATATTCAAATGCTGTGTTCCTTCTTAATGGCTGAAGTTCCTGAGGCAAGGGAAGTATTATTCAATGGTGTAGGATTTGTTCCTGATATCCCTTCTCTTCAACGATGGCTAGAAATTGCATGGCAAAAAGGTTTCGATCAGTCCGGGGCCGAATATTATGATTGGAAAATTTACCGAACACGGAAATGGATAGGGACCACGGAGTGCGCTGCACTTTTGCGAGCATTTGGAATTCGAATTAATATCGTAAGCTTCAAGGCTATCGAGGACCGATTGTCAAACCTAGATGGTGCTGGTGTTCCCCGTCTCTTGAGTGGGTCAGTGGAAGATGTATCTGAGAAGGGCAACAAGAGGTCGATAACGAAGAGGCCTATCCCTTCGAAGGAACCACGTAGTGCGGGTATCAGTTGTCATGAATGTGGTCGGTGCACTCTTAGTAGTTTCAGGTACAGGGGTCTTGGAAATGAACAATATGACTTGTGTTCTGAATGCATGATCAAGAGGAAGAAAAGGCCAGCTAGCAGTTCCTACGAGGGATTGCATACTGTTCCAGTCGACGGTGCTCAAAGTGTTACTCAAGGTCAGCTCGAAAGCAATAAAGTTCTACAGAAATGCATGAACAAACCTTCTCACGAAGTAAGAAATATAGTCGTTTCAGGACAGTCCTATGACGGAACTTCCCAGAAACACAGTATTGTTGTGGGGAGAAGTGGAGGTGAGCATCACTCCACCGTGAAACATCGATCAAGCGGATCTGGAGTGAACTCATTTTCTCGAGGTGTACAATGTATGGAGTCTCCGACGGAAGGAGTACAACACAATTCCATGTCGACTGGAGAGGGCAGTGAACAGGATGCTTGTCATCTTGCAGTTGAGAGCGCCGATCATCGCCATTTGATAGAGTGGGTTTGGAAGTACTTTACCGGAGAGACCTTGCAGAAGAGCTCGTCAGGCTCCTTTCATCATCAACAGCCTATCATCAAGAGCGAGCGCTCGTGAGTTTTACCTTGTACTTATTTGTTTGCGTGGATGTTATGCATGCCACCAATAGTTTTAATATTGTGCCCATTAGAGTATGCCTGTCATAGCCTGAATGGGTCTATGATCTTCGGGACACAATTACACGGAGGAGGATAAGGACAGTTGACAGTGGAGGTTGAAGACGATTTCTCTTGTAGTGAATTTACACCCTTACAGTAGATGAACTCGAAGTTATCATGTATCAAAAAGTAGACCTTAACCAACGCATCCGCCTGAAAATTGTGAAAGCCACTTTACATTTGATCCCAAATTGCTGCTAATTTGTGCTTTGATCACGAGAAGCCGACTTATAAACATGGACTTCACCAACAAAACGAGGCTAAGAAGCACAATCGCTCTCATGCCCCAGAGAGAAAGAGAGAGCTTTATTACATCGGATTATTAACAACCGTTTTGCACTCTTAACCACACATCTGATCGATTTCCCGTCCTTTTCTTCTCTTGTGATTGGAGAGATTACTCTGAAGGGAACTTGACCTTGTATCCACGTCCCTTGAAGGAACCTGGAGATGGTGCTTGTATATTATAGGTTCAAGGTCCAGCTAGGAGAGAGAAAGGTGTAGTTTGTAAGGTTCTTCCTGCCTGTGCAAGTTCTAAGAGAGGCCATCAATATCACTTTTCAATAGACTTTTAATAAGCCCTGATCACTTCTATGATTTGTACTACTAAGGATGATTCAGTTGCCATCGCAATATCCTTGCCCCGGCTCAACCAAGTCTTTCTTGCCTTCTCAACCTCATATAAAATTGTAGTAAAATTTAGAAACATCGGTAATGAGGCAGACAATGTAGCTATTTTCTCCACACCAATTTCGCAAGGTCCTCATTGGTGTCATGAAATTAGTTCCTACTCTCACTCATACTTTGTTTCATCGGTGAGATCTTCGTACCGTGGGAGCGTAGTCATCCTTCAACTTGTGTGTGCCTCTCCTTAGAAACTTTATGTACGTGGTGTTCCCTGAAACAATCTCCCAAGATGTCGAATTTCAGATTAAAATAGGAAGATCCAGACCGTATCACTTAGTCGCCCCAAGCTCACTGCTGTCATGTTCTTCATACTCGCCAACGAAATTCAGTACCCCACATATGCCGCCATGCTGCATACGTCACACCAGACTTTTCACGTCATTGCGATCAGTTCCTTTACCTCCTCACCTCTTTCTCTCATGAAACACAATCCATCAGCAAATATACGTGCTGGTATAATAGAATCTCCCCACACGGGCTTCCTAGCCAAGTTTTCTACTTTTCTGCGAGAGGGTTCACGAATTAATGGATAAAGGGGAGACGGGGAGATGGGGAGACGGGGAGACGGGGCAGCCTTCGGCTGCTTCTTAATTTCTATCAAATTTTATTGTTCCGCTGGCATACCAGATGCGACGGGTTCTGTCGTGTTTCGGCCTCTGGGGTTGCCCTGTATGGGGGAACGTGGCCACTATCTTTGAAATTATGTACTGGTACTGCAGATGATCACTTACATTTTGCAAAAACGTAGTGTGTTTGGAAGAATATAGAACACCTTGCTTGAAATTGGCTAGATTTCTGTCAGCTTCATCATAATTATAAACCATTAAAAAACTGGACTCATATGCTAATGAAGCGTCTTGATTGCTGTGGGACAAGGATGACAGCATGTATTCATGTGTTCTGCCCGTGTAGCCTGAAGACGATATGAGTGACATTCGAGCAGCATGTGAGAGTGAAGAATGTCTCTCTTACAATGAATGGGGTTTATATTGTAGAGCTCCATTGTATCAGACAAGGGTATATATACACGTTTGCTGGCCCAACAAAAGTCGAGTTTAAAGAGCAGACTCGGGTTCTTACTAGATGGTTGAATTTTTTTTTTCGTTACTAGGTTAGCGAAGGCTGTGGTACAATTTTCTTCTTATTTATCAAAGCTGCTGCATGCTACAGTTTACGAAATCAATTTCGTTCACACGATATAGCGGTCTTGTACTTCAATTTGTACTCGAAAGTTGCACATCCGCATGATTGGCAACTTTTATATGCACAAAGCAGTATGGACCTCCTGCATTCGTACCTTGTTACTTGTAATTCTGGACTCTGCAATAATGCCTACTTACGCTAAATTCTGAACATTGCAGAACTGAACCTAATAATAACCCCCCCCCTTATGATTTTGGGCTCGAATACTCGATCGACCCAAGTCGAGCTCCTCAAGTGATTTTCTCTTTTATTTCCACGGTAGCATTGTAATACATTGTTCAGTCTGGGAATAAGTTCAGCACAAATCGTAACAATGAAGTAATATGCAGTCGTTGTTTGTTTATAGCTTCGTGTTTATATTTATCACAGAAAGCATTCTTGAAGATCAGGACTTAGACTCAGGAGTATATATACTCTACGAGCTGGATCAGGCTTTGTACTGCTATACAGACTTGGAACTCAATTATTTTCAAACTTTGCATCATGTGTAGTAGCAGAAATTGGCTTCTTTAAAGTTCTCCACTGTGCCTTTGGTCTAGAGTTGATCTTCACCAGAACGGTTTCCAGGTTTACTTACTGTTATGTGGATTGTATGGATTGGTAGGTTTGATTTTCCTCATGAATGACAGCTTGAAATATAGCTGTTCATTGACATTCAATAACTTTACAGCTAAGATATTAGCAGCAACTGGTACATACTGGGTCAAATGGTCTAGTTGATAAATTGATGTAATTCTGCTGTAGATCATCTCAATATATTTGTTTTAGCTAGATGAAATCTACACGTTCACTTACTGAATTGAATGAATTTTCGAATTAGAATCAGTTGATTTCGTACATTTCTTGACAATGATTCACTTACAGGTGCTTTAACCATCCATTCTGTGTGACTTAGGCCCTTGTACTTCCAGCACCGTGGCCACTCTCGAACTATTGTAGGTATTGAGCTACGACGGAAACTGCGTGATGTCACAGAAGACTGCGAGGTGTTTTTGTTGGTCTTGGATCCTTTGCAGGTAAGTCAGAAGAGTGTTTTCCTATTCCAAGGCTCGTTCTTGATTTCAAATAGGGTTCATTAATTTTTTTCAGTGACCTTGACGAGAACTTCTCAGTGGCTCGACATTCAATTGAGCCACTTGTTTAGAAAACTTCTAGAAGAGTCAAATAGCTTTACGCATATCCACTTATCAGATATCGTGACAATTGCAGCGGATGGTCTTTTTTGGGAGTCAAGTTCTTCTATGTTTTGATAGTATACATTTAGGTTAAGTAATGAACAACAAATATGGGTAATGCGAACACATACTTTAAGAACTAATCTGATTATGCATCATGTCAATTTTTTTTTTTTCCTAATTGTGAAGATGACTAAATTAGTGTAACAAACTTCAAATTGAAATTAAATGACGGTGCCTTACAACTTTGAAAACATTGCATGACCAACACTTTTAATGCGAATAACATGCTAAGTGTAAATTGATACCACCATTACAAAACTAGAACATTTACATAAATTGTTGCTCAATTGAGTTGAAGTTTAATTTGTTGCTTCAAAATTCTTACAAATCTTCTTCACAAAATTTTGCAGCTAGAACATGGCTCAGAAATTCAACCAAGATCAATTTGAATACTTTTTCAGCAACCGGTTTGATTGTTATTTATGCATGCAGAGTACCAACGTGCTTGCGAAAACGCTGAGGGACAAGACTGGATGGAAGAAACTCGTTGAACAAGATGTGCATGCTCTTGTACATTCGGAGTATCAGGTAACTGAAACTTTGGGGAAGATTTTCTGTTCTTGAGTCATCTTACATACGTCAATTCTCGAAGGCATTGACCAAGGACTATGTTCGTCAGAGTTACCAGTTGGTTGTGTACTCCTTAGCTATCTCGCCATGACCTCCACTTTCTCAGCTCATCAAATGATTTCATGGATGTTTTTTTTACTTCATTTGTTTGTTTCTTTGCCTTTCGTTTCATGTATGTACATACTCGAGTTTGAAACTATTCATTGCCCTAGCTCAGTTTCCTAGGGCAACAAAATGAAGACCAAGTGCATGGAGACGAGTATTACAGTACGATGTCTTGATTTCCTCGCTTTTGAGAAATTGTATGGCTCCGCGATTCTTCCGCAGAGCCGGTCGAAAACTGTCTTGTATATGTGATGCGTTCTGTAGATGCTGAGATTACTCTTCCTCTTGTTTTAGAAGTTTGGGAGCAGCCAACATTGGAAAAGTGATGTTCTTAAAACAATAGGGCTTCCTCCGCAGGCACACGTTTTGCATAAAATACTTTTCATACAGAAGTTTGATCGTGCGATAGCATTATATAAATCCTGATGGGAACTACATTTGAATTGCAGATCTGCTATGCAGACCGTGGGATTGCTCGTGGTGAAGAGCTAGAAGAACTCAAAGTTCTTACGAGTCTCAACTATACATATTTTTCTGACGTTAATAGTGGATGAGTTAAAAGATGAACATGCGTCTGATCAGTTGATGAAGGTCAGTGCCTCTTTCGGTCATAGTTTACCAGTGTCTTCATAATGCGTCCTTCGTCGAACTTCTTTTGCATGCTATTTTCATTCTTGATTGGATTGTGGATCAATCTTGCGTTCAGGCCAGTTTAACTCGACCAATCTTCACTGGCGAGGATTCAGTCTCCTAGCCCAGTGAAATTGCCAAATCGTTTAGGTTGGATCTTCCTCCGAGGTGCTTGGACTGTCATTTGCAGACTTTCAGTCGCATGAAGTATTAGCTCAGTACCTTCTGCATGTTCTTTCTTTCCTTCCAAGCAATCAAGTATACTAGTCATGACTTAATGCAAATTTTCTAGTTCATGTTGGAGTCGAAGTTGACGACTCTCGCATTGTTTGATGGATTTATGATCGTGCAGTGCTAGAAGAGTGCGGACACTCATTTGTATCATCCTCATTCATATCCAACTCAAGAGAAGTGGATGCTGAAGGTACATTAGCACAAAATACTGATGGTCTCAATTTAGCCTTATACATTACACCATTACTTGAGTTACTATCCTGCTTACGAAGGTCACGCTTCTCGGACGCGATGAGATCTAGTAGAAACATAACTCCTTGAGCTTGTCTTATATGAACAAACCCAACTCAAAAATTTTGCTAGATTGCTTGAGTTTTTACCTTGTAATCTATACCACAATTGCAGTCGCTTTTGTGGGCTCCCCCTGAGAGAGAAATAGGTCATTAATGGGTTGGAAGATTTGTCTCCTTGTTTAACAAACAGAATGTTTTGCAAATATGTCTTCCCCTTATTCTTTCTTATGCACTGAGGAACAAATCGCCGACTTATGAGCGTGTCTGATATGAGTATGATCTTTCCTCTCCCTTAGCTTATCTCGTTAAGTCTAGTTATCGTTATTCGAGTATTAGACTCGAATATTTTTGTGCTTTAAGATAGTGATCATAGTGTTAGTCATGCACATCTTCTTGGTATATTTGTCATATGAGACCCCACAACTGAGTTGTACATTCTAGCCTGCAGATAAAAGTTTCGGCACATCAATTCAAGTGCATAGGAAAACGACAAATTTACAGTATGTTTAATAATACAATGGTTAAAGATTATTCATGGATGAAGACATGGAAGGTTATCTTTCTCGATGAAACTCCTGCACCAAACCAGCATAGGTTAATACAGCAGCTTGAATGGCGTGAGAAAACATCAGGTTCAAGTCTACAACCATCGTCATTTAGTATCGAGTGATTTGATTTGAAATCACTCGATACTGATTTGATTTGAAATCGATGTCAAGTGTTTTTTTCTCTTTTTTGGAGGTTTGAACTTGGAGAGTTCCAACTTATGTGAAAAGATTGTATATGTTCACCTATCATTAGAAGAGTAGAGGTACTATTTCCTCATTGGTAAGTACATGAAGAAGTTTGTGGACGTGCAATATTTCTGCAGCTTCATATATCAGATATCAAAGTGATTATCGAGTTGTCCTTAATTACTGTAATAACCCACTAAAGGCTAAAATTACAATATAGTGGTAGAAAGTTTGAACCCACAGGGATAGAGTAACACACAGGGTACAAAGTGTCACGTTTAATAGACTATTGAGGAATTTGAATTCTCAGGCGATTGTCACTCCCAGAAATACTGCAAGTGTCCACTCGGAGCGCACTCGGAGATCGTACAGTGCAGCGTAACACACACACACACCTGAAATTACAGAAACACAACCCAGAGATCCGTTAGGACCTCTATTCAAGATTTCAGGGGAAGGTCTCTCAAGAGTACACTCAGCGAAGCTGCGGGTAGTGACTCCAAACTCCGGCTTTTACAACACTTCCACTAGCTTGCTGCTAGCGTAGGAAACTCGGTTTGGACTGCCTACTTCGGATCGAAGTCACTCATACGCGGTGAACAACACTCTCAACTCACTAAACGCGCAGAGAACGCAGGTCCGCATTGAAGGACTCACTAAGAAACATTCCAGTAACACACCATAACAGTCTATTGAAGAGTTTGAATTCTTATGCACTTGTCATTCCCAGAAATACTACAGGGGTTACCCCAAAGGCACCTGCTGCAGCGTAACCTGAATTTACAACCAAGGCTTACACGAAGTAGCAAAACTTCACTTTGGCATTCAGGGGAAAAATCCCGAAGGAGTACAATCAGGAACAAACACTCGAAGGTGTAGGGGCGAAACTATTCAAGTATCTAACTAGTCACTGGCTCTGAGCATCGGCAATCACCCGCAAGTGTAGATCCGAACTACTCAAGTCTCTAACCAATGTACTAGCTCTGAACATTCGGCCGAAGGCCTTCAGCTACAAAATGCGGAACGCCAAGTTGTAGCTCCTCTTGCGTGGTGACAGAACTAAGGACACAAACACGTAGAGAAAATGAGTTCCTGATCTGCACTTCCGAAACTGGGAAAGAACACAAGGCAAGACGCCTTGAACTACTTTATACCTTCTAAGTCCTAACTAACACTACACTGCAATGCCATGGTGCGAGCCGCAACAGATCCTACACCTGAGGAGTCGGCGGCTGCCTTCCCCTCTAACTTACAACCTAAATCTAACCCTAACCCTAAATCTGAATCCTAAGCCTATTGTACAGAGCCGCCAGCGCCTTTCCATCCAAGATCTGAGGCTGAAAATTTGCAGGCATGCGTGGCCGGCCGAGATCAACGGCCCCACAAAATTTCAGATCCATCCGACCGTCCATTGCAAAGATATGGGCCCCGGCGTTCTGCGTCCCACACTTGACATAATCCCGCCAACTTCCGCCATCGGGAATCTTCTCCCACGTGGCACCGAAGTCCCTTGAGCCGAAGGCGGATCTTCCGCCGGCTCCTTTCCTTTCCTACGCTGCACCGGAGGTGAGTCTCGCCTATGCGTAGGCGCTCGCCTATGCGCAGGCAGTCTCCCGTCCGCATGGAGTCGCCTATCTATAACAATCACCCCCGTCGCTCATAACTCACAAATCCTTGCTTCGTTCGAAATGTTCTTGGGCTCGTTAGAACCAGCGTGTCGAGCTCTTTCCAAAAAGACCCTAACTAAGTCAAACCGTTAAGAATTGAGAAAGTTATGACGGTTTTACTCTTCCGCCGAAGGCGTTTGCCTATGCACTTGTAGGCGTCCGCGTCCTCGTCGCAAGCCGCCTACTCGCAGGCGTCCACGTCCGTCCGCGCTATTGCGCTGGCGCCAAAGGCGCCGTACAAGTTCCAACCCCGAAGGCGCATTTCTAGGGCCGAAGGCGGATTTCCCGCCGACGCCGAAGCGCCTACGCGTAGGCGGACTTCTCTCGTCCGCGCATAGGACAAACTTTTCTCGCCTACTCGTAGGCGAGAAGCTGAGTATCTTGCGACCTTCATAATTCCCGGAGTCCTCATCCATTCGTGGCGTTCTTGGGCTCGTTAGAATCAGCGCGTTGAGTTTTTTCCAACGAGACCCTAACCAAGTCAAGGCGTTGCGAATTGAGAAAGTTATGAGGGATTCACTCTTCCGCCAAATGCACTCTCCCGCATCGCCGAAGGCGTTGACCCGAAGGCGCATCTTCCGGCGGTTCTTCCGCCGAAGGCGTACCGCCAAAGTCGCTCTACCGCCAAAGGCCCCCCATCAGTAACTTCCGACACTCATTACTCAGTGACCTCTCATCCGTTTCACAAGTTCTTGGGCTCGTTAGAACCAGCGCGTCGAGCTCTTTCCAACAAAACCCGAAGCAACTCAAAGCGTTACGAATGGAGAAAGTTATGAGTGATCTACCGCAGAAGGTGCTCGAGGCGGATCTTGCAGCATGAACCGCCCGTTCCGTCCCAAGCGTCCCACTGTGGCCTAAGCCCAAAACCCCTTGACTGTCCTCGATCCTCTTTTTACTCTGGTTTCGCGTACCAATTACTATTTACAGATGCTGCCGCGGTACTTACTATTCAAAAATGTTTTAGTTCCGACAAAAAACAAAAAGTGGGTTACCACAGCAATGTCAAGACAATCATCGGTGGTGCGGACTTCCGGTTGACTTATATCATCCTGCAGCCCATGCTGAAGCAAGGCTATGACATCCTGCTCGGGCGACCGTGGCTGTATGGCGCACAAGTACGATGTGACTGGCGTAGGCATCGCCTTAAGTTTCCTCATCCTACGGAGCCGACCAAGACCATCACTGTGCCCTGGAACAAGGTCCGACATGAAGGAGAGACACCGTCGACAAGTGCGGGTTACACATCGGGGGTGGACAGTGATTTGGCCGCACGATCAGATTCCAGTGCCACTGACTCCGATTATTTTGTGGGATTCGTGGCCTGCTGTTCTGTGGAAGAGGAACCAGAAACTATTCAGCCGAAGGACGAATAGCAATTAACGGTAGGACTGGGGAGGAGTGAGACGAGTCACACAGAGGGCATTGTCGACCCTAGTGACTGTCACGAAGTGCAACTAAGTCCTGACAAGTGCTTGAAGGTATCAAGCACAGTGAAAGGAGACGAGCTTAGGGAGGTACAGACCTTCCTTCGCCATTACGTCGATGTCTTCGCCTGGAAGATCGAATCAAGAAGGTACGAATGCATATCACAAGATGCCCTTCGGTCTGTGCAACGCACCTGCCACCTTTCAGCGGATGATGACCAATATTTTTCAGGAGCAACTGAGGAAGTTCCTAGAAATATTCATAGACGACTTCTGTGTTTTTGGGAGGCGGTCAGAACACCTAAGTCACCTGAAGCAGACATTTGATACATGTAGGGTAAGCAGTTTATCGCTGCACCCCGAGAAGTGTTTCTTCTTTATGACTAGCGGAATCTTGTTGGGCCATAGAGTTTCGTTAGACGGCATTGCAGTGGACATCGAGAAGGTCAAGGTTATACTCAAGCTTGAGCCACCAACGAATCTGAGGGAGCTTCGAGCATTCCTGGGTCATGTGGGCTACTACCGAAGATTCATACACATGTACGCGATCTTGGCGGCCGACCTGACCAAGCTGTTGAAGAAGGACGAGCCTTATGCCTGGGGTGCAAAGCAGCAGTCAGCATTCGAGGCTCTTAAAGCGAAACTCACGACTGCTCCAGTACTAAGGAGTCCAGACTGGAATCGACCATTCCATGTTTACGTCGACACATCTGCATTCGCCATCGGCGTAGTATTGAGCCAAAAGGATGACAACAAAAAGGACTACCCGATCTATTTCGCGAGCCGTCAACTGTCTCTAGCAGAGAGGAAGTACACCACGACAGAGAGAGAAGCGTTGGGGATGGTGTACTCCTGCAAAAAGTTTCGACACTACTTAATCTGCTACGAGTTTGTGTTCCATGTGGATCACTACGCATTGCAACACCTAGTCAAGAAAGCTGACCTGTCCGGTCGGATAGCCAGATGGGTGCTGTTGCTACAAGAGTTCACCTACACGGTCCAGACCAGGAAAGGGGTGCATCACGAAAATGCAGATTACTTGTCCAGATTATGGACCCAGCCTACCGAGGAGGAATTGGTGGACGACTTTCCGGATGAAGAATTGTTTCAGTTGTCTGCGGGGCACGAGTCCCGCTATGCCGATCTGTACCGATATCTGCTAACACTTCAGTGTCCCGTGGGCATGGACTTGGAACAAAGGACTGTCTTTATTCATAAGGCAGGCCCGTACCAACTCCAGCAGGGTGTTTTGTTCAAGAAGATGGCAGACGAACGCTTGTGCAGATGCCTGGAGGAATCAGAGGTTCCGAGAGTAGTAAGCGCGATGCACATCGAGGATGCTGGCGAACACTATGCCACCCGGAATACAGTCACGAAGATTGTAAATGCGGGGTATTGGTGGCCGACCATGTTTAAGGATGTTCTTGATTACATCCGCAAATGCGATAGTTGCCAGAGGACGGGGAGACCAACGCCTACAACACGGTGACCCCTGACTCCCATCTTGCCTCTAGCACCTTTCGAGAAGTGGGGCATCGACTTTGTAGGGCCGATACAACCAGTGACTAGAAACACATGAAGGCGCTACATTCTGGTAGCTACGGACTACGCCACCAAAATGGAGGCCAAGGCCACGAGAAGAGATGATGCAGCCACAGTAGCAGC